AAGCGAATTGCTCTGCTCAGCTCTCCGTTGTTGACAGACGGACGGGGCAGACTGACTGAAAGGCAGCCGCTCGCTCGGAACTGCACGCACGTACAGCATAACAACCAGGGATCATTAATTTTGCGAGTTTCTACTTTACCGTTACTGCACCGTCCAAACGCACGCACACGCGCACACGCACACATCTTCCGACCCCCCTCCCCCATTCCCCCATTGATGAATTTTCATAGCTTTCTTTTCGGGATTCAGGATCGCAAGGGCGTTTTTTTCCCCTCTCTCTCAACCCCCAAATAAAAAAAATAAAACATAAAAAGTGAAAGGCAGGATAAAAAACAAAATAAAAACGTTACAAAATTGTTGTTTATTGGTCACGTTCTATTCGGAGCGACTTTTTTTCTTCTTTACTTTTTCTTTTTCCCTATTTTTTTTCTCTCTCTCTTCCCAACATTTGTGCGCACCACATCAGATTGGTACACGCATTGTGCAAGTGTTGTGTGAGTTACTGTATGTTACTGGGGAAGGAAGAGAAAACAGGAAAAGAATCACTTAGGTCACGATTTCTCACTCGTCAGGACCCCCCCTACCGCTTATTCTTTGCGCCCTCTTACCTTATCCCTCCCGGTCCCCTTTCGGCTAGTCCACATTCGGTTGCAGATCCCCTTGCGCTTAGGTGGTTTTTCTTCCACAGAGATCAAAGCCTCATTCTTCGATTCTCGATCTCGTTCGTTTCACCACTCACAAAACACATCCGTTGGAAAAGAGGGTTCTGATTGTGACCAACCCATCACGAGACCCCTTGGCGGCAAGCTGAGAAGAACATGGAAAATTAGTACCCACTGTTCCCCCCCGAGAGAGGGGGGGGGGTTGTCAAATTCCCCCTCTCTCTCCGGCCTTTTAGTCTAAGAACTTCCCCCTCGAGATTTGTTTTTTGCTTTCCCCCTGTGTGCACAGACTCGCGAACCCCTCATGGCCAACTCGAAAGACCAGATCCTGAAGCGTTTAGGCATATCCGAAGGCGTATACTCTCAAATTCGTGTCAGTAAAAAACATTTTTTTTCCTTGCCGGCATCCCTCTTCCAGCATGAGAATGAAAAGAAAAAAGAAAACATCCATCACCAAATCTCTGCCCTCTCTTCTCGAGATCAAAATGTTGCGGTAAAGGGTTCGGACTGATTTGAGTGATGGGTTGTTTCGTTTAGGAATTTTTGCGAAAGAACGTTGATTGGACGGCATTTGCTGGCGGCTACGAGGGGTTCACCGCACTGCCCGAAGAAAACCTGGCCAACTTGAAAGACGCCCTTATTAAAAAATTTCCAATTCTCGCCGGTAAAGATGAGGAGATTTTGTGGATTATCAAGAGACGATATAGGAACCACCAAACCATCAAAAAGCGTAAAGAGAAACGAGACAAAAAAAGCAGCCCTTGTTGCCATTCTCTTTCACATTCCAGAAGTGACGCATTCCCTTTTCGTGCCATCTCTATTCGTATCCTTTTCTTCGATAATAAATGATAAAGCGAAAAGAACTAATGTTAGGTGGTGTCTGTTGATTGTAGGCCGCGCTAGTAGTAACGGTGACCGAAAGTTGGGCCAAGAAAATATCTGCTCATTGGGGGTGAACGAATCGGGGACCATTCATCACGTCGAACCTCACCTCGATAAGGAACACCTGAGTGTTTTCAGCATCCAGTTTGTGCTGAACCCACTGAACCCGACATGATTTGTATCTTTAGACTAGTTTTTGTTTTTGGTAGGTTTTCCCCTTCCCTGCGTGCAAAAAAGCACCCACATTTTTTGTGAATGCGAGCACTAAATCCTCGGATCGGTTCAACAGGCCTTTGGGACTAGTTTATTTGATCGTCAAGACGGAGTATTTGGGAGTATCGGGGGGATCACGAAGTTAATGAAATCAATGATCTGCCATATCTATAGCGTGCATAGGTCGACAGTTCAGTTAGCTTTTTTCTAACCTGGTCATTATGCAGGTTACCCCTCCATCTCCCTACCGTTCATCTCGGGAAGGGAGAGAGGGGAATGGGATCAAGGAGGGAACTAAGCTTTATGAATCTTGAAATTTCTCCAAATTGAGTAACTGGCTGTTCTGATGTGTTGATGCACGACACATGGATGGCCCATATATAGATACTTGACCCCATGTAGCTACTTCATCTGCAGCCTTATGGAGTAGAACTGAAAGTTTGGCCAAATATAAACTATTTCTTATCCTCTTTTCAAAGAGGAGTTCGGAGCTATGGTCCGCATTGGTTTTTATGAGGGTACATGGTAATTGGATACAAGTGAGCCCAGGCACTATATATCAGCTGCAACCAGCCGGTAAAATCATGTACGTAAGTGGCTTTTTTGTTTTTTTCTCGAGGTGCCGGGCCAGTGGTTTGGGTTTCCGACGCAGTCCCTGAAGTTTGGCACTCGCACCACCATTATCTGCTGTCGTCCAGTCTCGTGGGTAAGGACGATAGCTGATTCCAGGCATAGCAAATCCATTGCCGGTTTTCAAAATTGGGTGCCACAATATGCCACGTAGTGCCAGGGGGATACCATGGACAACGCTGTCAGGTTGGAGAAAAAATCCATATAGTTGGTAGAACAACGAGTAGCAGTAAACAACTGAGAAACTGCAACCGGGCTTTCCATGTAGATGTTTCGAAGAGAAGGTGCCCTGTACGCTGGACTGGTCTATAGAGGCATATCAGGCATATCTATCTGGCGCTCCCGGGACCTCGCGGAAAAGTGCTTGCTGGCTTCCATGTAGTCGCAACATAATCGATGTGATCCCACAATTCCCAAATCCGTACCCAAATCCGGCTCCTTGGTCAGCTAGATACGAAAAACCTCTGTGGTTAGCACAGTTCACGTGTACACACGGCAAGGGGCATTAACGAGCAGAAATGAACGAACGTATCACGCCCAATGCCGGCAGTTTGCAAAAATAATGTAGGTACTATTGTGTTCTGCCGAAACCCCTGTCAAGGGATTAAAACAAGGTCGGAAAGGAGCTGCTATGTTGTCCGCTGGAAGGGGGGGGGGGAACGACGGCCTTTATATGCTCGTGGTCAAACCGTCGAACCATGATATCACGATACTTGTGCACGTGCGCTACATGTCACGTTCCAGCCCTCGGAACACGCACTCTTAATGCGGGACATTATGTTTCGGTGGGGCGCTAAAGGACAGAGCAGTCGCCACTCACATTCTGTTTCAATAAGGCGCTCAGGGAATCGTGTAGGAGCAGTCCCTGATAACTATTAGTGGTGGGGATCTCTCTGCATTGACTCAAGAGCATGTCACTTCCATCTCGGATGTAAAAGGAACATAAGTTTCGAACACTACCTTGCGCGAGTGATACTCCATGATCGATTTACAGTCTTGTGGCGACAGGTGGTGTCATATAGCGCAATACAGCACATACCCCGAGCACACAGATAAACTGATTCACCAAACATGCAACCTTACTACTGACCACTGGCCGACAGAATATCTGGCAGTGGTTGCTCGAGTTGAGGTTCGCGCTACCCCCCACCCCCTCCCCCTCATGTTTAACACTACCCAGTAGGGGGAATTGAACCTGCCCCCACAAAATAGACCAAAAGGCCGGACCCGGACTGCCCAATCAGCACTATACGGCGGAGCAATTGGTACTAGTAAAAAAGAAAACAGGACCCGGGGGAGTCTGAAAGGAACTTAGGAGTCTAGGCGACGGTATTCGCTCAGTATTTGCCTGAACAGACATTCCCACTATGGTTTGCGGAGATCCGGCACCTGCATGGCAGTCACTTTACTTCCGTCAGTTGCCTTTTTGTCCCGATTGACCCACTCAAACCCCAATTACACAAACTCCGAACCCCAACCCATACACCGAAAGGTCAAAACATAAAAACGCTGGAATACACCGTGAGATCTGTAAGTATGCAATGCTTGCTCCATTGCAAGTTCCATGCAACACAAGTGAAATGTAGGCGTAGTTAGTGGAATTCTTTTGCGTGAAAAAACGTGCTGAGAAACTCTTGATATGATGCCAAATGAGGAAGGAATTGGATATCATCCTAGAATCACGACAAGTAGAGCAGCAATACCCTGTTCGATGATGTCAGACTACCACTGGTAGAGCTCTCTTTTTTTTGTTGACATTCCTGATATCAATTTCCTCAGTCCCAGTGCCATACTCGAAACCCATATTTCTATTGGTTTATGGTATTGATGAGAAATCACTTGGAGTGTTGACATAGCGTGATTTACAAAACGTGCACGGCACTTCAAACTATTTGTGAAACCTGATTCTGAAATATCGTGTTCCTCGGAAAGTCAATTTGAGTCATAACAGACCAAAAAAAAGGTGTCTACTCTGCTGCACAGCCCAAGTTCAGTAATATTTTAACTGGTACCGGTACCTGTATTTACCCTCTATCTATCCACCCATCCATCCACCATCCACCAATCCCTACCCAGCTGGAAAGTCCCCAAGATAGAAACAGCTAACCAATCACCCAAACCCTCAGAATCAATGGGATAATAGACACAAAAGACCGAAACTAGGAAAAAAAAATTATAACAGGATCAAGCAACAGTTTTCTCAAAATCTATTCTGAACTTTGCAGACAAAAGAAATAAAAAAAAAAGCCGTTCTTTAGGATTAAATATAAGAAAAAGCGGACGGCGAAGAGAAGATCATAACCCTATTTTGTCCACTTTCACCAGAAGAAAAAAAGGAAAAAGAATAGCAGGTCTTGGGCACGCGTCTAGCTGTACCTAGAGAGTTTTGAGAACTATATAAAAGAAAGAAAAATAATCACAAGACACCAAAAAGACAGGGACAGAAATTTAACGAGTACGAAGAGAATTGAGAGTTAATTGGCGGAAAGATTCTCACACAAGGATTAATAATTAAGCAATCTAAAGACATCCGGTTGCCTTTAATCGCGAGGGAAAAGAGGAGTTGACTATCCGCCACTGATTCGTTGTATGAATTTCTACAATTTCCGCTCATTAGCAAATCAATTCCCCAGAATCGCACGTGCACTGAATGTCTACCTGAAAGTAACTCCTGAAGGGCTTGAACCCCATCTGTCTGAGCGCTACCAGGTACTCCTCGGCAGGGCCTTGGGGGAGGTTGACAGATGGAAAGTAAACAGTTCCTAAATACTGAATAAAGTTTTCCCCGAGCTTAGTGTAAAGAATATTCTGTAGGGCGGCGATCTCGCCAAGAACCATCTTTGCTTGAGCATCCTTTGGACGGAAGCCAGGCATCGCTGGAACCTCCCAGCAAAGGGATGAGAAACGCTTAATCATAAATGTGTCGAATCCAGGAAGTGGCTGTTCTTTCAAGTTGCCGTTCGTTTGTTCCTTCGCAGAGTCGGTAGCAGGCCCCCAGACAATTGACATTTTCCCCATCACAGAAAATGCGAGCTTAGATGTCGGGAGGTCATTGACCTCTTTGGCGAAATGCTGAACTGTCCCTATAAGCTGTTCAAAGATTGGTTGGTTGACTAAAAGCAAGTTAGCTAGTGAAGAAGACAAGCTCGTAGAGTATAACCTTCGCTGACGAGCACAAGACCGAGGTCATTGTTTAGAATAACAAGTAAAAAGTCAAGGTATTCTTTCCGCAGCTCTGCCGCTTGGATTTCATCGTCGGTTCCAGTTGCCTCTTGTCCCAGAGAACTAAATACCTTGTTTAACAGTGGGGTGAGCAGAGAATTCAGAATATCATAAAACTCCGACTATACCCAAAGTTAGCACCCCCAAAAAGCTATTGCAACAATATTTATGAAAAATACCTTAAATCCATGAACAATTTGTTTCAAAAGTCTCAGGAATACCAAAATCTCTTCAGCTGTTGAATCTTCTGCCAGGAGTCCCTCAAGCCACCTTGGCAATGTAGGCAAAGCCCTCGGTCCCAGAATTACTACCATCTTAGAGAAAGAACGCCTGGCGGCATCCCGGACATTTGGGCAGTTACGGAGAGACTCTAGGGACACTAAAATAATTTCTGAGGCATTTTCAAACTCCCGAACCACTAATTCGTTAGGTACAGAGGCGGAAACACCAGGGCCAGGAGTTCCGTCGGCATAGCCCTTAGCCAGGATACCTAAAGCCATCATGATGTGATGAACTTGCAACACACACCGGGCATCGCCTTGCTTTGCCGCCTCTAAGGTACTTTCCATGTTCCTAAATAACGGGGTCATGACTGTTGTCACAAAAAGCACTTGTTTCTCAAGTGCGACGGATTTTATGGATGAGAGGCAACCGACCGCCTCAAAGAGATGCAGCTGGCTCTCAAAGGTAGCATCCTCACCCTGTGCATCGTCTGATGACATCTCATTGTCTCCGGCATCTTGCGGCAATTCAGCCTTTATGACGAGAATATCGCTAATTGCCTCCAGCACCTCTTGGGCAACCCCACCGATGTGCTGGCGAAGAGTTTTGACAAATCGAAAAAAGAGGTACCATGACCTATTTCGGACGCGCACATGGCTGTCGTGCACACCCCCCACAAAATTCTCCAGAGCTTTTGGTATATAAGTGGTATGAACTTCAAAGAATGCCGCATATCTAACAACTGTTTCCATATATCGGAGCTTGATAGCCGGATGTGAAGACGCCACGATACCTATAAAAATGTTACTACCTCCGCCGGAAGGCTCAGATCTAAGAGTCCCACCAGAATTCATCATTTTGATCATTAGGCTGATTAGAGCCTCCGCCGCTAGCCCCTGTGGCCGCCCCTTATTGAACATGCCACCGCTCCTCATAGCCAATTCTCCAAAGAGAAACATCTCGTACATGGCTAAGTCAACCTCTCGCCAATCAGCAGCAGCAACTCCACCCTCCGCCACTCTATCAAATGTGGTACCGATAAGGCTGGATAATGTATTGATGTAAAGTTGTTCGTCAATGGCGGCAACAGTGTCCTGCAAAGTCTTCAATCGTTTTCGGAGTGCTTGGAACTCGGCCTCATCAGCTTCATCGTCGTCTTCACCTCCCCAAACTGAATCTTCATCATATTTCGCTTTTAAAACAATCGCATTAAGTATGGGTGATAGCATCAGACTATGAGCATGCGAAAGAGTCCCGGTAATACGCTTCTCCTTTCTAAGCAAACTAAGAAGGTCAAGCATAGAGGGGTAAACGGCATGCGAAACCTCGTCCCATTCGTCGCTAAAGAAGCGAAGGAGAAACGGAAAGAAAGGCTGGAAAAGCTCCTCAGCCCGTTGTTTAACCTGGATATCAAGAGAATCCTGCGGTAATGTTTAGGTCATGGATTAATAAACAAAAGCAATTACGGAACAACTTACATCATTCAATATTCTCAAGATATCAGTCGTCACATTATTGACTAGTCTGGCCACACCTTCGGCAAGTTCAAGGTCGTATGTTGGTTGCCCATGAGCTTGCAACGCAGGCGAATTGACCAAGGTCTCCACAATTTCCCCAAGCTTCAGAAAGACAATTAGTTCTAGTTTATCAGTGCCTTTCATCCTCTTTCCGACAATATCGGCCAAAGTCACTATAGCAGCGTCTCTTACTCTAGATTCGCCGAGTATAAAGTTATACAGCATTCCGAGTAAGACTTCATTGACAACCAACGATATGTCAATCCAGCTAACCCATCGACCGACAACTCTTAGACACATCTCTACAATGCCTTTATCACTCCCATTCCACTGGGCCAGAATTTCTTGCCAAGCCACCACTAGCTTTCTCACATCACGTTCACGAGCAACATCCTTGATTTGAGTGTTTCTCTGGGCCTCCTCCATAGTGTGTGGGACGAGGATATCCGCAACCTCTTCGTGCACACTAGCCACGATGCGCAAGAAGAACACTACGCCCAAGTAATTGTCTCGATTCCCCTGAGCATTAGCCTCACTAGAGGAAGAAGTCAGAGTAAGCATATCATCAAAGAAGCTTCCCCAGGTTGTCGTGTACATGGAGACAAAGAGAGATGTCAGAGTTTGTGTCAATTTGTTTTGAATTCCGGGGGAGTCAGGGGCGCCGGACCCTGTAAAGTATGACCGCCTGATATAATCCATCAGGGTCTCCCGAATGTAATTGAGGCTCTGGTCGTCGGTTTGATGGAACCGGCGCCGAACGGCAATATTCAGGACGTCAAGGCAAAAGTGGCGAACGATCTCGGTGGGTTTCGGATCCCGTGCAAACAAGGGGAGACAGACCTGCCAGGCATCCGATGACTGCTTTACCTGCTCTAGAAAGGTCATAGCCTACGGTTCTCAAATCAGCATCTTCTGCACATGAGCGAGCAGAGCTCCGAAATAATTCTATAGCCTATACAGACCTGTCTCTTGATTTGTGGGTCGGCACCAGGATTATACGCAATCTGAACGGCATTTTCCACCTATAAATACGGCAAACCGTTAGAAGTCCATGTGTTCTCAGAATTAAAAATGTATCCTAAAGTGTTGTACGTACCTGAGCGTCCATCTTCCCGTTGCTATGGCGGTAATATTTGTAGAAACTCTTAATAGAAATAACTAATGTGCTTGCTGGGTTGAAAAATTGCCCCACCTTCCGCTTTGCTTCAATAGCAAGCAGTCCGGCGGAGGTGAGTCAACAGCTCAAAAAGCCCCCCCGCAAAAAGATGCGATAAATTTGAACGTCGAAGGACAAACGAGTTGAAAGCTGGAGATTGAAAGAAAGAAAGGGAAAAAAAAGAAGGATCCAAGGTGGTGAGTGAAGAAATGACGAAAGAGTATCGAATTTTCTTTTTCCCAGTGTGTGCTTTCCGTTTTCGCTTAAACGCCTCTCGTGTGTTGACTCTGTGAAGAAACTACACTCAAGATTGGTAGCACAAAAGTTAAAAGAGGGTGGTGGTGGTGATAGAGGAAGGGCAGAAAAAAATAGTATGATAATATATAATGTTGGAGGGGGTCGATGTTGATCACTGAGCTGTCGGTTCTCCTTTCTTCTGTTGCTGTCGAGGGAGACTGCTATGTTGATTGACTGATAAGTTACTGATTTCGAGCAACTGTTCTCGGTTTGCTCGCTGGCGCCAGGAAAAACTGATGGTGGGGCAGTGGACCAGATTAGAATCAAGCTTTGGCCACCTAAACAAGGGCTAGCCGTTAATGGGTCTGACAAGGAAACATTCCCACGTGACCACACGTTTAGCCAAAATTACTGCTCGTAAAATCTCGCGTCTCAAATACAGCCCCATATGATACTATTCCCTCCCCATAAGTACCCACAAGGTAACCCAAAAAAGGGCTGTAAGCTCACTTTTTCTTTCCTCTTTCCTATCTACTGTACAAGATCATTCACTACTAACCGAATCATCACTGGGCATTAAAGAGAAATTGATTTCGTTATCATTTTAAAATAATCTTCGGGTCGTGATATCTAATAGAAAAAGCCATTGAAATCCTAGTAAATGCATTACTCGCAGCTAAGAAAAGACATTCATTCGCCCAATCTCCCACTCTGATCATGACTTGGTCGTAGCCCCTCCGATGCCGAGCCCAGCCATCGTCAGACCCGTATTTGGACTTTCCACCGTACTCATCTTCTCCTGTTGTAAACGGATGAAGGCGAGTTTCTGAAATTTGTTTAAAGAGCTAAAGAAATGCCGGCCAGCCTAAATGAATGGCGATCAGTTATAGTTGACCGCAAGGGTTTGAAGGTGTGACCTGGTTACCATGTGCGTGCTAATTCTCTCAAGGAGTTCTACCACTGCAAACCGAACCTTCTGAACCGGATGGAAGAGACCCACTGCGATAGGAAAGAGTCCGCCCTGGTTCTCAGGAATCACACAAAGCAGCTAACAATGTCAGACGCTTTTTGACTTGAAACTTGGAAACGGAACCTACTTGATTGATCTCTTCATATTCGATAACATAATCTTTAAGCGCAGTATATATTTTCCCCGAGTCTTCGTGAGACATTCTCAGAGCTCTTAGGCGATCCATGTGGTGGTGCAAATCCAAAATTTTAATCGGCTTCGCCATATAGAATTGTTGAACATCCTGTTCGAGTCTCGTCAATTAGGTGCTGTGCATTCAAAATAAAGACTAGAGTTGCCAGAAACTCACCTGGGCGTACGCATGGTAACTACGACTTCCTCGCCACCCCTCGATCCTGGCCATGTTGGCAGTTAAATCCCTAATTTTGGTCTGCTCATCAGGCCAAACAAATCCATGACCACGGATGACATGATTTTCTTCATGACCGATCCATAAGGCGCTGGCTCCGTAAACCATCTCCTCAAATGCAGCGGCCATCCGTGTAAATCTTACGACCCAATCCCTCCACCTAGCCCTTACAGCCTTTTCGCCAAACCTTGACGAGATGCAGTGCAAAATATCGTCCATAAATTGATTGTCGCCAGTATCAACATTTCCTGTCATGTTGGTCATACTTCCAAAGACAGCAGCACCGTCAGATTGCCCAGACATTTTAATTTCTGGAGAAATTTTCACCCGGCCAGTATCAATATTGCACAAAATATCCCACCAACCAGGATGATTGGCAAACGTTGGATTCGTGACACCAGCGATAAAACCAGTAACCAGTAGTAATTCATCGACTTTGGAGAGATCGGTATAAGGGAAAGCATGACGCGTGAATCCTCTTAGAATTCCTCCCGATGCCAAAGCACACGCGGCAAGCACATGATCCGCAACATCTCCGGAAGGGCGGCCATGGCTAAGAAACACAATTCTCTTTTGTGTGAGTAGTCCATTAACCAGAACCATTATGGGATGTGTGTATGGGCCATTCGTTGTGAGGTGCGGATGAAGCGCGAACGGCTGGGGGTTCTGGGAATGAGGGTTCGAAAATGTGGTAATGAGTTGTATCAACGAGAACTTAGAGATGTCAATCAAACACGATATGAACGATCAGAGGATAGGGAGGAGAAAGAGGGATTCCTTTACATCACCGACAGTCTCTGGTAAAACAGCTACCGGAACCCTTATAGGCACAGGTATGCCGTTATAAACAACTTTCGTTTCAAACTCATGGCTATCTCGATTAATAGTGATTTTTCCATTCACAATCTTGTTCCTGCCAGGTGCCAGATCGATATATGTAGTCGGTCTTAAATCACCATCCTGGTCACTAGCTGTGATCATGCCAGCGGCCGATGGCGACCTCATTTGGTGAACCACGGCGTTTGGCGAGGCCATTGCCATTTCGTCAAATTTCTCAGAAAACATTTCTTTCTTATCACTTGCAGCGAGGACCTGACGTTCGAATATTGACAAACGCGGCATCGGCGAAAGGTCCATACTATTTACAGCAGTAAAGAGCTCGGCCAGAGTATCAAGAGTTGGAGATTTGAAGTACTCTTCGAGCGCAAGCAATAAAATTGGCTAGTGAGCATATTGTTAATATAATTATCCCCGGATATGCAAATTCTTATTATAATCACCTTGTAAATATGCAGGAACGAGTGGCGTGTGCAGATAGCCATGGCTTTTACCTTTGCGCCCCTAGTGAACCAAGCATTATCTGTAAGTTTGGGGCATTCATCAAATGGCGCAGGCTGTAATAGAAAAAAAGGAAACATACCGTTTCGCCTCTTTGTCATGCTTCGTATTCACCAAATTGAGCACATAGATCAGAGGTGCATGGCCTGTAGGGTCCATTTGATCTTCACTCTGTTCCGCATCTTTATGTAGAAAGAATATGGTCCAGTCTTGAAAGCGAACATGAGCTTGATCAGGTAGCATGAGCTCGGCCAACATGCTTTTTCACACAGTTAGCACCCAAAAACTCTCCATTTGCGTATCCAACCGATTTCCGAATTAAGTTGAATTGATTACTGCCACAGACAAATCAGGTAATAAAAAAATACTTTTTTCTTCTTCTGATACAGTATGAGGGAGGACAGATGGAAGACTTGGGAACAGTGGAAATTGAAGTTACAACATGTGTCATATGTACCAAAGGGGCTGGTGGGGAAGGCGGGTAAAACTCACTGCTCGTCTCCGCTTATAGCGTTCGGGTATTGATGCTCCATTGTCGGACCCTTATCGATTGAGAATTCGGCGACCAGTATGTACTCGACATGCAGCTGATTATGTTCTTCCCTAGAGCTTCTGCTACTTCTCGCGCTGACCTTTGTGCCCCATGTATCGGCGCTGCCAGAGGCAGTCCGAACGGAAGCCGCATTGCTTGGAGTAGGTACACTCATGGCAGTTGAGGAATGAACAAAATGTATTGAGGCAAAAACGATGGTAGAAGATCAGGAACACTCGCCCCTGGGTTGGCCGGGGGGGAAGGTTGGATGTGCTTCGAGCAAAAGGCCGTAGGAAAGTGTAGGAGACGATACAGATGCGAATGGAAGGTGGGCTGGACCAAAAAGCAAAATAATTCACAAGCGCGAGTACAGCACTTCAGTCGGGCGACAGGCTTCCTTCCAGAAAGACCATGGAGAAAGCCCTCTTTCGAAGAGTCTCATCAAGGGTCAGCGATCGCTTGTGCCCCTTGATTCTCACCTGTACTCGGGTGCTTGTGCAGTACCTAACTGGCTTGCAGAAACAACACCCCACTATACGGATGAGTCGGTAGGGCCCGAGAGACTGTTCAACGCACCAGCTGGAATGAATCAAAAAATTGCTGGGTACCGGTAGGGCCATCGCTGAGGGGAGTGGATAAGTCGCCGCCAGGAGCCCGGGCGGCAAGTCCAGTGCTCCCGGCACACAGTACCGCGCCGTACTCTATTGTTCGCACGTAACCCCAAATGTGGGACAGGGCTAGGGTTCCAGACCTATCTATAACCCACCATCGCCAGCTCGGGCGGATAAGGAAGTAGCGCTAACATTTTGAGGTCTTCCCCGAGCCCGGCGCGATTACGAGAGCGAGCAAAAGGCCAAATACACTTCGAGCGCTTGAGAAGGGGCAAAAAAAGGAGAAGTATCATATCTTCCGCATCCATTGCTCTGCAGGCCCACAAGCAGCAGGGAGCCCTACGCCCCAAGGCTGATCATACCTTATTGCGCAGATTGTCAGTTTTAAGTACAAGAAAAGCAGAGATTGGCTCAAAAAAACCCCTCGGTACTATTCCCAACCTATTCCCAACAAGAAATTCGTGTCCAGAGTTGGTGTTGTACTCAGTATGCATAACTCGTGCTGTGTCCTCGAGAGGGTGCGGGGGTGCTGTGCGATAATTTACTGTATGCCAATGCCAGCATTGCGCAGACGGGCTCCCACTCCTTCTCCTTGCGCTAGCACGCCACACCCCCACCCACAGTAAGCCGAGGCCCTAGACCGACATCTCTCGTCTTAAAATGCCGGTAGTCAGTTCTGCTATAAGTACTCGTACCGCTACTCGAGTATTGCTACACAGCTGGGAAGAGAGCTATGATAGTCTACAATGATACTACAGTGCCAGGTCAAAACGTTCCGTCCGACTCAGGTTTCACACCAAAATTAGACACTTTCAAACAGACAATTACCCACGCTACCTTCCTGAAAACACCTTAAATTGATCTATCAACTTGACAATCACTACCTATTTAAATCACTTGAACCAGAACTGTGCGTGATCAAAACTGTTTTCATTATTTACTGTTGCGTTGACTAGTGTAAAAGTGACCTAAATTTCTGTATATGGCTCCATACAAAAAGGTACATTGCAACCAATACTTCACACTGAATCGACACTTTCCCAACCAATTTATAATTTTTAGGAATTCCACAAAATTTTCCTTTTTACCTGCAGGCTTATTGATGCTCTACCAATTTTTGGCAGGTTCTCATAGCCAGTGTGCTGTGAGAGAAGGTGATGAAAGTGACAACTTTTGGTGTAATAAGGTCATGGACGAAACGATTTGACCTAGTACCTTACACAATGTATGATATCATAATAACAATATTGTTCTACCGGTGTATGGTAGAGGCAGAGCCATGCCTATATGTGATTATTTGTACGAGTACACTACCCTTAATGCCAAACGGTTGAAACCTTGATTTCAACATCGTGCTGGTAAATAATATCTCTAGTTAATATGCCTAGTTCGAGTGCGCCGAAACCGGCGTTGGCTCTAGGTATCGGAAGGATTTAACAAGGGCTAATGCCTGGGAGGCCACCTGACCGACGGTGTGGAGGAGCTAAAGTGATGACAACGGGGGGTTAGGTACCGGATCAGCTCTCTACCAGCTCGCATTTGTGCCTCGAGGAAGAAATGAGTTGGGCCTGTGATGTCGAGGGTAATCCTTCATAATAGCGTTAGGAAACGAAGTGGTGTGGTACGGGGAGTCGATACCACTACTGTTGGGGGATGTGGTGAGGATAGGGTACCGGGTATTTTCAATGATCTAACGGTGATATCTAGCAGTGCTTGGAAATTTACAAAGTATCGAGACACCTTGGCCCTGTCTTGTCGCCAAAGTGTCCGGATACTTTACATTGCCGGGTGGGGGTGACCGAATGAGGGCGGTCATTTCGTTCCTGGCCTAAAGTAAATTTGGCTCTTCCCCTGTTCTGAGTACGATAGGTAAGCGAACCGACGAGTCGGACTTTAACCATGGGATCTGGCCAGTTTACGTTTCCATAGCAACCAGGGGGCCGGACCCTTCGCAAACACCGGTTACATGAACACACCCTGCGGCTACCACGTTACGCATCTGTTTTCCTTTATTCTGGTTGAGCCAACCCTACAATTCCAGATTTTCAACCTCGAAGAACACTCACAGATCTTTTCGTCTACTTAACTCACCACTTTCCCCAATCACCCTTGGGACATAACAACACCTATACACCTATACGGACGAACTGGACGGATTTTTATCTTTTCACTATCTGCACCCCTTAGTGCACCGACTGGGCCATTATGTCCTCCAAGATAGCAGCTTCCTCTAACCCGTACGACGAGATCAAACAATCTCTAGGCGCTGAGACATGTCCGGCCTCCACTGTGAAGTTGCTGAATGAGGCCCTGTTCGCTCCCGCATCATCTATGGTTGCCGCAACCTTAAAAGTGTCCACAAGAACCAATCACTCACGAACGAACTCGAGATCTCAAAAGACGGTGGTGGCCGTAGGGAGTGCTTCAGTTGCGGTAACGTTGGCATCTAGGACTGCAGATCGGTACAAATTGGCCATTGAGGTTATCAATACCAGTTTACGAAATCTTAGCGAAGCTGTGAAGAAGGACCCGAAAGCTACGGTACTAGAAGTACATGAGAAGGATCAACCAGTTCGGAAAACAGAGAAACAACAGCAGACCTCGGTAGCTCGTTCTTCGCATTCTCGACCGTCAAATCGGAACGATGCGCCTACGCTTCTTAGACCAGACGCAACTGAGAACCTCGCAATATGTTGTTCACTAGCCATTTCATACTTGAATTCGATATCCGGGTCTTCGAATGCACTCGACATTGCGCCGTTGCAAATTGAGAATGCACAGAATAGTCTTATATTGAAGTTAATACAGTTGGGTATGTTTGAATTGGGGTTGAAGGAGTCACGAAGTTTAAAGCGGACATTGGCAGAGGCGATGAGAAGTGGGGGCGGAAGTGAAAAACAGGGCAAGCCGACGCCGGCGGTGGCTCTGGCAGAAAAAGAAGATTCGCGTAGGAATGTCTCAAAGGCGCAGAAGGAGCCAATTGATAAACTATTGGAATTTGACGATGTGGTTACTTCGAGTCCTGCATTTCCTTTGGTTATATCTTGTCAGTTGGGAATATTACGATGTATTGCGGGACTGAAAAGGCCAGAACTGGTGGAGGTTAGTTGTGGGCCCCGTCTGACATTGCTGATTTTTCACTCACTGAAACTTGATATACCAGGCCGTTTTACCCACACTCTCTTCCTCTACAGTGCACAATCCGCTCAACGTTATCCGTGCTCTGGCCGGAACCTCTCTTCAGAAAGCTCTCGCACATTTGAATGTTCTTCATTATACACTAGTTTCTATGGCGCCATCCATATCTACCTCTATCGATGCTGTAGCGACCAATGCTAAACTATCCTGTTCTCCTAGAGCCGCCTTAGCTCTCCAGACCAAAGCTTTACAGTGTAGCATCGTGAAGTTGACTCTTCAACCTAACTTCACAGAGATAACCGATAAGGTGAGAGAGGAGCATTGGGAGTCTTGGAGGAGATACGCTTCAGCTTTTGTTCGACGCACACAAGACTATAGCAATAAGCGGGAACGATACGGCATTGTTCGGGATTTAGCGGATGCTGTGAGGAGGTTCCTCAGGGTTGAGGGTGCATCGCACTCCTACTCGCCTGAGGTTACGAGGATTCTCTCTAGTTTATCATTCGAGGCTGGACTGATGACCCAATCCATGGAATTAACGAGGGCATGGGTCCAGGAGCTGGAAAAGTCAGATGTTCAGAGCGATGCTGCATTAGAGCTAGTGGGCAGAGTCAGGATGGCAACGGCTGAGCTAAAGATTTCCATGGTCATGGAGGACGGAGAGCTGCTAGTAGATGGCTCGGGTGTTCAGCGAATAAAGGACCGGGTGGGCACTGCTGTCGAAGGGCTCGAGAAGATTTCGAAAGGCAGAAGATCAGACCTCGACCAGTTACTTGTCGAAGCCGGATATCTGAGGAGGAGCGGTGTTAGCTTGCTTGTAGCTCTTCTCAAAGATGAAAGTCCGGGGTTCATAGAACTCAAAGAGAGCGAAGCAAGGACCGTGAGGTTGGAGCTTCGAGATGTCTGCAATATGATTGCTCGAGGCGTTGTCGGATTCTGTCGAAAGTATCTAGCTATGGGAAGCCAAGGCGATGAACGAACAAAGGCCATAAAGCTTGCCGTCTCTGCGATCGATACGTCCATATCTACTGCTTGGAGAGGTTTCGATATCGAATATTGCGCCCAGTGGGAAGGATTGGAAGAACTGACGAGGGATTCCTTGGCTCTTGTTCGATCATTGACGGAATCTGATCTAGAGGCCCTAGGTGATTTAACACTTTACGAGAAGTTTTCGAGCACTTATTGGCAGATCCATTTGCTTTATCGGAAGGCTGGTATGGACAAGGAGAGCGTTCGGGCTTTGAAGCGCAGCATATCAGTATTAGACGGGAGACCACCTGCCCAACTCGTCAAAGCCAACATCGCCTTAAAATGGGAACGCCTAGGAAGCTCGTTTATGTCCACGGGGGATTGGAGAAGAGCTGAAGAGACTCTTTTAAAGGCAATGGAGGTTTTCACTGAAACTGGCATTATTGGGGAGCTAGGGATTTGTGCCTCAAAGGGCGATCGTATCGGCAGCGAGTTTGAGGTGCATACGCAGGAGGCTATGGTGGGACGGGTTTTGGCAAGTCTTATCAAATGTGCATCGCGAAGGAAGAGCACTGAAGTGGCTGCGCTCCGATTCGACGATGAGAAAATTGCAGCAGCTGCGCGGGGGATGCTTCTTGAATGGTCCTTGAAGTTGGCCATCGGTGTGATGGCTAATGATGGGGTTGTTGTGCGTGTGCTCGCAGAGAGATTGCTTGAGGCATACCCCCTGGAAGCGATGCCGCTACGGAGGGCCCGCGTGGTATCGAGGATTTTATGCCTAGCTGTGGACCATCCAGAGATTTTCAACATTGAAGAAGTCAGGGTTATTGGTGATGAAGTTGCTTCCTGGTCTAGAGAAACACCGATACCATCCTTGGCAGAAGACGGAAATTTGGCGAAATACAAAGAAGACATAATCGCAGGCTGTCTGGTCAGTTTGGCATTTTTGAAATGGATCAATGGAGAAGCCGGGGTGGAGTCGGTCAAAGAGGCTGTGGGGGCTTGGGGTACACTTGTGAAAGGATGTTCATCATGGGATATGCTTCTGGAAAAGGTGGAGGAGATTAGCGTTATTATGAAGACGCTTGATATGCTTGCCGAGTTTTCCGAGATGAGAGGCGAGGCAGACTTAAAAATGTGTGTGTTGAAGGTCTTGGTTTCGTTAAGGGAGATCGAGAAGCAGGCCGATTATGATGCGCTTGTTCGCCTCGAAACCTTGATAGGGCTACACTATCTCCGACTTGGATATTCCGGCAGATCTGGGATGACCATGGCTAAGGCTCAGGCGTTGATGAAGAAGGATCAGGCTAGTGTATCGACAGTTACAATACTTCAATGGCACATGGCGTACACCGAATACCTTGTTAATATAGGGAATCTTGAAAAGGCGGAAGAGTACCTTAACGCCGCTAGCAATATTCTTGAAGAGGACCAAGATCTCCACTATGCCGGGATGTCAGGCGCCCGCATTGCAAAACGAGTGAAGCTAAATCGTATCATCGCAGATGCCGCCTACGTAATGAGCTTGCTTACTTTTGAGAAGGTATATGCTACTCCGTAGATATTGTTTAGGTATCCTATTGACTAGTGATGATTATATAGGGGAATCCTAGCGATGCATTGGCGCATGCTAGGCGGTGTGTACGGCTTAACCAGCGCGCATGGGCTGGGCTCGAGAGTTTAAGCAGAGATAGTCTCGTCGACAGCATGGCAACACTAAGCACCTCCGACTACCCGCAACCGAAGGTCCAATCGACGACGTTCGGGGCCCTCAATGTCCCTCTGCTATGGCCTCTAGTTTCCTCGCTATATGCTGGACTATTACAAACATCTAATATTTATCGGCATCAAGGAATGGTCCGCGAGGCGGAATTTTACCTTGAACAGGCACTTAAGACAGTTGAAGCTGTCAACGCGTCCCCGAGAGTCAGTTTGGCAATGACGATGTACGGGGATTTACGTATAAGATCCGGTCATATAGACGAAGGCGAGGAGATGCTACAGAAAGCTGGCAAGTCTATAGGCGGAGGCAGGGAGGCCTTGGAATTTGAAGTAGCAAGTGGAAACTTGGATCGTCTTCGAGGGGATTTCGCCGGGGAAGGGAGGGCTTACGAGCGGGCAGAGAAACAACTCGAACAGCTTATGTCAGTTAGATATATTGAAAAGCTTGGTGCGCTCACAGGCGACAGTGAGGGTTTATCAGAGAAGGTCGCCATCTTGGAACTGCGAGAAGGACCTCAACCGGGGCCCGAACCTAAACGTCGAGGAAGGCCGCCAGCAAAACCCAAAACGACAAAAGCGTCTAAAGCATCAAAGGTCACCAAAGCCTCCAGAGGTGTTCCTGCAATTTCTAGTGTGGTTGCAGCGGAGTGCTCTGTATTGCTTAAACAGAAGGGGAACATACTTCGACTCAAGGCGCACAATCTCACAATGCAGAGGCAATGCGAGCAAGCCGAGGTTTTGCTTCTGGAGGCATCCAAGCTGCCAGTCGGACACCAGGAAACAGTGATACATGGATTAACGGAAGCCAAGCATCTACTTCAGGAGGCGCTCTCACTTGTGGGGTCTGATCCTGTGTTTAGTGTCCTACACGAGTCCACAATCTCTCTCCCTAGTGTTGCACCTAGAACGGGGGAGTCAAGTCCTGTTAAAAAATCAACTAAGAAAGGCGTGGCAGCTGCAGTGAAACAAACGAAAAAGTTTGTTGAGATCCTGACTAGAGCTAGAGATGCTGTCGCCAATGTTCATACTCGAGCTGTTAAAATGGGATCCTCAACGATAACTCATAGTGTGGCCTCGCTACTTAGTCAAATTATCGTCTTACTATCTGCCGTAACTAATTCCAAAGGCAAAGGACCCGAGCATCCGTTATTTGCGAGTTATTCCCTTGGTAAGGTTCTTCCCTGTGTGCTACGCTGGCGGTTGCTAATACCTCGCTAGAACTTCACAAGGGAATTTCCTTGCAGAGAGAGAAAGCTGCGATTGAGACGGAGAAGGTAGTTAGCCGTATCCCTGAGGACTTGAGCTGGCCAAGAGCAGGTTCTGTTCCCGACGCTCCAAAATCACTGCTGGCAGGATCGGCTCCTTTCGAGTTTTCTAACTTCCAGAGTGATTACGTCGACATCATACCTAAAAAATGGGCGGCTGTGTCTGTTTCACTCAGTGAGAGCCGCGAGGAGCTTTACCTCTCGCGGTTCCAGGCTGGTCAGAGCCAGCTTATGGTTCGTCTTCCGCTCACGCGGCATAATTCCCGTGACGACTATGAGGACCGATGGGAATACGAGTCAATGCTCGAGGAGCTCAATGAGATCGTCAAAGGTGCCAACATCAGCGCTCATAATGCGAAGGATATGACGAGCAAAGGCGCAAGGACTGAGTGGTGGAAACAGCGGGAATCACTCGACACTCAGCTCAAAGATCTTCTGAGCGTGATCGAGTATCACTGGCTGGGCGGCTTCAAAGGCGTATTTTGCCAGTATGCTCTACACAAGGAATACATGGCGAAGTTCAAATCTGCCTTTGACAAGGTCCTCGCAAGGCATCTGCCTTCCCGACAAAATAGGAGGGCGAAGAGGGTAAATATTGATTATCGGATATTAGAACTCTTTATCGGTCTCGGGCGGCCGGACGAGCAGGACCTAGATGAAGCGCTTGTCGACTTGATCTATTTCGTTGTTGATATCCTACAGTTCCACGGAGAGGGTAACGCCTACGATGAGGTGGATTTCGACGTTATGGTTTTGGAGCTCACGGAGGCTTTAGCAGCATATCACAAAGGGGTATCATTCCATCCGAATGAAGTAGCAAGCGACGTTGATCACACAATCCTTATTCTTGATAAATCGGTACACATGTTTCCGTGGGAATCACTCCCGTGCCTTCGGGGCCACTCGGTATCTAGGCTTCCATCATTAGCCTCTCTCCGGGACAGAATCCTCATGATGCAGGAGAAGGAACCATCCCAACAATCACGGCCCGGATTCTACGCTGACAAGACCCGTGGAGCTTACATCCTTAACCCAGGTTCCGATTTGGTCAACACCCAGAAAGCCTTTGAGGATGATCTTAGAACTCTGAAAACCTGGGAAGGAATTGTCGGCAGGCCTCCTTCTGAAGAGGAGTTCCGGCGTAACCTGGAGGAGCGAGATTTGTTGCTATACTTTGGCCATGGAAGCGGCGCCCATTTCATCCGCGCCCGTACGCTCAAAAAGTTAGACAAGTGCGGCATCGCCTTACTCCTCGGCTGTAGCAGTGGAGCATTGAAAGACACGGGCGAATTCGAGCCATACGGGATGCCGGTTAATTACCTGCTTGGGGGCTGTCCATCAATGGTGGCTACGCTCTGGGACGTCACGGACAAGGACATCGATAGATTCTCCAAGGACGTTTTCAACAGATGGGGATTATTTAGTGGGCCGGGCAAATCTAAGAAAGAGAGAGAGCTGGAGGCACCAAATGCATCATTGGTCGAGGCTGTAGCGAAAGGAAGGGAATCTTGCGTGTTGAAGTATCTTAATGGGGCGGCACCGGTTGTATATGGCATCCCGGCGTACTTGTCGTAAACTACGTGGGGAGTAATGATATTAGGGCGTTTTGGGTGGCGCTTGTTTTTCCACTTTTTTTTCTTTCTTTCTTCCCCGTTGGAGGTCCTGTTGATAGGATGGGTCTATTGTGCTGTGTCGAGCTGTGATCGTATTGGTGGTTTGATACGGTATCCTACATCCGGGGGTGTCTGGGTTTGTTTTTATTTAGTTTTGCTCACTCGCGATGATTATGGTTATGGGTCGCTTGTAGCGTTTTATTTGTACCGGTGTAGGCTTTTATAGAATCTCACGCTCGCTGTTTATCAAGGCGCGTTCCAACGTTAACGTTTGCGGAACTGGTTTATTGTATAATACTGTATGAGTATCAAATTGGGCAAACACCCCCTCTGTTTTCAGTATTCTTGGGAATGGAACTTTTCTTCTTCTACTTACTAAAAAGTTCACTTTGGCCCTGTTTGGCGGGGCTATTCTTATAGCAACTAAAACTTTTTATATAGGAGTGTGTTTGGCACATACAAAAATATTGTCATATATTTTTATTTTCGCAATATATTTTTATAGCATAAATCTGAGAGCAAAGTATATAGGATAAGTGCCAGAAGAGAGAACCCTTGACTTTGCTATTGTATAACGACTATGTAGTAAACTATTTGTATATAACATAATATAATCAATACAAGACTTAATTGAGGTTATAATGACGTTCAAGTTTATTATATTATTTTATTATAATATTATACACTTGATAGATTCAAACTTGGACAGGAATCAGAGTGACTCAGAATCTATTTCTGAAAGAAATAATAAAGGGAAGAAAAAAAGGTCAAGTAAACTCTGATTACATGTTACAGTCTAATGAGTTGAGGTAATTATTGGTGAGCATAATTGGAAGATGTCTGATAACAAACTACGTACTGCCAGTAGTAGGAAATATGTTAAGGAGGTAAGGCTATAGATATTGTAAGGTCAGTCAGTATTCTCTTTTATTTATTCTACATTTAAACCTTCTATTAGGATTTAAAAAATACTCGTATCATTTTTGTTTAACTGAAGAGTTTATAGATCAGATATCTCGATATAGCCGGTCTCCTGAGAAACAGTTCTATTATAAAGAATATTAGCAAATATAAAATTAATAGGTTTTGAAATTTAGAGCTAGTTATTACTATCCTAATGATCACTTTAGTCGTGTAGGTTCATGCTCTTATAATTATGGTAATCTACCTTCAAGTATCGTCGTCAGAGTTATAACGAGATTTTTTGAATACTAGTGGAATAGTACAAGAAGCTTTAATATATACGATAATACCGTAAAGTGTATTCAAAGTTAAAGAATGAATAGGATAGCTTCTCGGATTGTAGAATATTCAGAAATTTATTCCTGTAAAGTTTGAGAAGATGAGTTCTAGGTGAATTCAACTGATCAGCTGTTTTTTTTAAGCATGAAACTTGAAGAGTAAGTAGGAAATATACTTCTAATAAGAATGAATATCCTGCTTAAGAAAACCATATAAATAGTTGTTAGGTGGTAGTTTGTAGCTTTAGGAAAACTACCAGTAATATGAAATTTCATTTCTTAAAAGCTCCTAAGAGCTTAAAAGGTATATGTTTGACAAAAACTTGAAGGTATAACATGTTATATTGATAAGATCTCTTTTACTTGATAGGTAAAATAGCTATGATAGAAATTGTATTTTTTTATTATTGAGTAAAACCCAGTCATGTAGCAATTTTAAGAGAGATGTTAAGATCTAACTTAAGGCTCCTAATTTGGAATGAGGTGAAAAAATAGACAAATGCACTGGCGATAAATTTTTTAAGTCACTACAGCACTTTATAAGTGTAAAAGGGTTCCGATGAACTCAGCGAACTGTACCATACTCGAGTACTCGAGTACAGCGCCTTGCTGGCTTGTCTTCGCCAAGAATACCTCAGAGAGTTGAATACCGTACCGGTATCTGGCAAGAACTGCAGCAAAATACATGTATCGGCTGGCAGAGAAACCATAGGCACTCTTATCAGCACCTTGGCTGGGGATGAGCTGTGCTTCCGGGATTGCCAATGAACACTGATCGCGCACGTGATACAACCGAGGTAACTCCCCACAAGCTTCGGTTCTCTCTTCTTCATCCACGTCGCACAACACACCCCATCGATCACCTCCACCATGCGCCGGGTCGATGTCATAATCATTATATGAAGGCTACATTTCTATCCTAAACCCTCCACCCCCCCCACTTCCCTTCCTTTCACTTCCCCACTAAACCCAACTATCAGCAAGAGCATCAGCCCCAGATAACCGCCGCCTCCATGGATCCGGCGTCCAAGCGGGCCAAGCCGCCCCCAGAAGTCTCGAACGCCCATCGCCTATTGATCCTCTCACTCCGATACGCCATCTCCCCAAAAGAATACGCGGTTCTCCGCCGTCGCATATTGCTCAAAGGCCCGGGGGGTCTTCGCGCCGCGACGCCATCCAAGACACAGTTCGATGCAGTATGCTATGAGTCGGGGCGCGACGACTCCCTCCCTGCAACAAGCAGAGCTGGCCTCCGGGTCTTCCTGCTGAGCAACGTAGTACTGAATTTGTGGGATGTGGGTGCAGGGAGATTGGCCAGGAGACGGCGGAAGGGCGGCAACAATGATTGGGCGAAGCAAGTGATAGAGACGACAGCCAGAAAGACGCTGTTCAAGAGTCCAAATTTTCTCTTCTCGCTGTCGTTGGGCACACTGGTTGTTGCTCATCGGTTGCTGTATAGGTTTTTCTTTCGCCTTCGGGAGAATTTGTTGCTTCCTCAGGCATGCACCTTCCGGCTGAGACACCCGAAGGTTGCGAAACTTTTCTTGTCGAGGCTTTCACCACCGATTGGGTCTGCATTGGCAGGGTTGGCATTGCTGATCCATCCTTCTGGGAATAGGAGGACTACGGTTTCTGCATGGACTTTTGTGAAGGCGTTGGAGTTTTGTTATAATAGGCTGGAGGATGAAGGGCGGTTTCAGAATAAACCTTGGGTAGTTTCTCCTTGGCTATTTCTGGCGTGTGTGGTGCTAACGAAGTGGTGGGAGGGAGCAGTGGTTTGGATCGTGGATGCTGTTCCCAATTGCTTCGGGGCAGTTGCTTTACGCTTTCGTTTTTGATAGAGATTGCTTCCCGCCTGAGTATGGGAACTTCATCATGGGGTATTCGAAAGAGTATCTCCAAGCTCGGCCGGTAGGCTATCCGGACCATTTGCAATGGCCGGGAACGCATGACATTGTGGACAGCATAGGGAAGATCGCGGGGTTAAATTATCCGTATACTTTGCTATGCCTTCCTGTCACTCACGGCAAATCACTAACCCTCCACCTCTAGCCCTTTCAATTCTGCAATCCTGTACCCCGACGCAAATTCCCTCCCCAAATTCCTCCAGAAAATATCCCCTATTGTCTCCCCCGCCCACCCCACAATAACTTCCCTCCAATGCGCCCTCTTACACCCGCAAGAACCTAGCTGCCTGAAAACCTATCTAGCATTTTGGGCCTCTGAATTCACCTCTATAGCGAAATTCATGTCGGTAGTCTACGCTATATCCTGGCTCCCTCGCTACAAGGCTTTCCTACGCAACCCGGCAGGCGCACTCGGAAAGCTCTCAAAATCCACCCTCTTGACAACCACGTTCATCACGGGATCAATCGGGACGTCCTGGGGCATGACCTGCTTGTTTCAGAAACTTTTACCCAGGCACTTTCTCCCAAAGGGACGGTTCTGGCTTGGTGGGTTTGTTGGTGGGCTGTGGGCGCTTGTGGATTCCGGAGGTGGCCGCGGCAATTTCTTGTACACTTTTAGGGTTGGGTTGGTTAGTGCCTGGAAAGTGCTTGCCAAGAAGGGTTATGTTAGGGGTGTTAAGTATGTTCTCTCTCCCTCTGTTGTTCGAGTGGCTAATTGTGGGGTATAGAAATGGTGACGTATACCTGTTCATCCTAGCACTAGCGATCATCAACTCGCTGTTTGATACTGGGGAGCATGCTGTTTCCGGAAGTTTTTCTAGGAGGGTGTTGGGTTCTATGCGCGGACGGGGGCTGAAAGACCCTGTTAAGGAGGCAGAGAAGGCGCTGGAAAAGGGGAAGGGGAAGGAGGTGGATACTAGTGAGATCATTGGGGGGAGGTGATTGTTGGAATTTTTTTTTTTTGGTTTGGGGGGAACCGGGATGCCAGGTACCAGAAGTGGAGCGGGTTTGTAAGATTTTGGTAGAACAGGGAGTCACCTTCTCCCTTTCCCGTCTAGTTTCGAAGAATGGGGATATACTTTGGAGGGATATTATAGTAATTCGCCTCATTTGGTTATACTTCTCCCCCCTGGCTGTTTAGCCGCTCCGTGGTTCAGGAATTCTACCGCGCGCAGTACCAAGCGAGTGCTGAGTCTGCTTTTGTAAGATTCACCTGCGACGGCAGAGTACTAAGCACTTTATTCACAATCAATCACTCGGGCAACTTACATTCTTGTATCTCCCGTTTACTTGTTCATAGGTGGATAGGTTTCAGTAGGCACCTTGTGTGAAAATTTAGCCCAAAGAGGTGCACGCTGTCCTTCCGCAGCCTCAAGGGGGGTATAAGGCCGACATCGGTTGCATAAATATAGGATGCGTTAATCGAAAACTCCCAGGTAGGAGAAGCAAAGCCATAGAGGGCACTACTTCTCCCCCCTCTCCCGCAAATCTTGGTGAGCTAATCGCATCGGCTCCCGCCGGTAGCTTGTGGTAGTTAACATCCCCTGCGGCGCCGTGCCGCGAGAAGAGATAACTTTGCACCCTTTTAATTTATTGAGGATCGCTGCTTTGGCTCTAGCGACGATGATAAGTGGGGCATAGTCCTAGTATGGGGGGGGGAGGGGATTATTTGAGATGGGGATAGTGCATCATCAGCACGTTCGAAGCCATGCTGGACAATGTATGATACTGAAAGCCGCGAATCGAATCGACATATTGAGCTGCGCTGATTGAGTGTAGATAATACTGATGATCCCCCGAGGCGATTGTGCCAGAGTGGGTGCTTCTCTCCAGGCACAGATGAAGGGGTGGATCCGGAGCGGTACGCCGGTGTCATGCTTTGGCAGACAAAGCCACCATTCGCGGAAATTGTGAAGGTGTCGGGGGTATCCCTTCCGTTGCGTCACTCTTTAAATGTTGATAGTCTGGGGGTGGGGGTGGGGTACCCGTCTAGAGAGTGGGAACTCAAGACCGGGGTTTCTGGGAAAAATCGCATTCTTCTCGTGACGGCTGGGGGGGGGGGCTCCCTCCCTTGGAATCCATAATCCAGAGCTGACATTCGTAGGGGACTTGTGTCTGTTGGTTTACACATGATAAGATCTTCCGGGGGGTTGGTGCGGGGTGAAATACATGCGTGTAAGAACTCATGTTACTTTGCTGCCGTACTTTGACCCTGGTATGTAGTGTCCGGTATCAACTTACTCTAGCAAGCACGGAGGAAGCGAAGCTCGCGCGGCGGCTTCGGCGCACTGCAGTGAGCATCAGGAGCAATAGACGGATCCTGTGTACTTCTCGCTGCTTCTCAGCTCCGATCCCCTCACGCTTAACTGTATGGATGCGTGAGCAGTAGCAGTGGAAACGATTATTATTATTTTCCCGGCGGCACGCAGAGGAGGTTAAGCGTTGAGTTACGAAGATCGTATGTTTTAGGTGTGCAAGTCCAAGGCAGTCAGACGGCTGCACATGAGCTGACTCAAGTTACAAAGTGTTTCTTTTGTTAGGGGGCAGAGTTGAGGATAATGAATGTACTACCTATAAAAGCCAACGGCCCAGGAGTGACTCCCGAGATGGCATCACATATCTGATTTTTATGAAATTTGCGTTTTTCTGCCAGGGCCAGGTAATAAATCCTATACCTATACAGGTAGACAGCAATACTAGCAATGCTAAGTCACAGTAGAGTAGGATTGTTCCCTCACGGGCACCAACTTACAATGATAGGTTCCAATGTAAACCCCCCATTTTTATAATCTCTATTCTCAAAAAGGCAGCTAACTGATACTAGTCTGAGGTCCGTTGATAGCTGGATCTGTTTCGGAAAGATTGAATGTTGACAGATTCTGGATATGAGGTGGAAAAAGACGGGCTCGTTCATACAAAATATAGTATTAAAGGCCCACTCTGATTGTAGTCTCTCCTGCTCAAACAGCAGGTAATTTAAGCAATACGAGTATCATAGGTAGTATTATTTTTGCTCATTGAAGTATTGTTTCAACCTTGGCATTCTAAAAATCTCCTCCGATTCCGCTTGCTCCTTGCTCTGATTACTTCCTCGATTCCATCTTTGGCCTTGTGCCCCATTGTTCCATCCGGTATGATATTCCGATAACTTTCTCCATCATCCTCCTATCCTCCTTCTTGAGCTCTATATCCAATCGCCTTTCCAGCTCCTACTCGTTTATTTTTCGATCTCCTACTTCCTTATCATTTTTCTCAATATCATCTCCCATCTCTCTCTGCAAGCTGTCCCCTCCCCTCCCCACTCGGCAAGGATAGTCCAATATGCCGAATTTGGTAGGTATCTGAGTCCAAGTTGGGATCATCCATTAGTATTCTCTTGAAATCTTCCACCGCTCCAATAATGTAATTATCATAACTTTTTGCACTTTGTAACTTTTAGCATCTTTGCGAATTGGTACGAAGGAGGGAAGTCCTTGAACGATTCTTTGCCGTTGCTTACAAGTTATATAGTTTACTATCATACAATTTCTTACAAACCAGTCAGTGTATCTCGCACCACGGTTTCCACCCGCTCCCAGCATGTCATGATGACATTACATTTCCTCTAGCTTGCGTTCACTGGGTCCTCAAACCGGTTGCCGGGATGGCTGATCTTATTGGCTCTTTATTTCGCCAAAAACCAGCTTGTCCCGAACCTATCCGAAACCCGTGTGAGGTTTATGGACCCCTAATAGAACCGGCCCCATAGCGGAGTATGCAGCGCCGGTGTCAGTTTGACTATAATCTGTCTCGAGAATATATGAGGGGGGGCCATTGGCGAGCGGTAGATGGTTGAACAAGAAAATTCCCTGACAGGCGCATTGAATGGAATGACTCCGAGTAGAAAGACGGGAAGGACATGTCCCAACTGATATGATAAAGCACTTACCGTCAATGTCGTTAGGTTATCTCGGATCCCTCGCTCGCTAGTTTTCTCTCGAATGTTGCGGACCGCGAAAATATCTGCTGTACGATCGTACGCCAAGTGGATCGGAGCCCTTAATCTCCCCGCAGATTACAGTTATCTAACCCCCGCTTGTGGATTTCATGGCTTTCTTTTGTCAGGCTCCTACAGTAGACTCGTCGCCCCCAGGAGGATTTCTGCTGGTTTACTGTTTTGGCTCTCGTTCCAAGCCTAAGTAGATACGGGTTTAGGAATCATAAGCACCTTCCGTGAAGTTATTGGCTATTGTGTATTATGTCTCAAACTGACTCTTGGCTTTGCAGTATTTCTGATTATGCTGGTGGAAACTCGAATGATACTAAGTAATATATATTTGTCTTTGTGGTAGCCACCCGCTATCTCAGCTAAAACCCCCGCTCTTAAGTTGTTTTTAACCATGTCGAGAATACCCACGCCACATTTCTCTATCTCCCTCTGAACAGCACCCGAAGCACAACGCATCAATCATACAGGGTGGGGGAAAGGAAGACGCAAATCGCAGAACAAGAAATATTGTGAAGGGATAATTTTCACTAGAATGAAACCAGAAAAATCGGGTATTATACGGGAAAACTTCGAGCCATAAGTTATACCCAGGTCACCAATACTCATTCGAAAGCGCAAGGAAATATGCAGGGAGGTTGGCACAGGTACGATGGCTTATGCATACATTCCCGCCGTGCGGGGTTTTTTTGGATAAACCACAGCAAGGACGATGCTAAAGTGACCCGGGTCCGGAAGGGAAGCGGGGGAAGGGGGACGATTTCTGTCAACGAGAAGGTTTAACCGGAGTGAAAGGGTCGGACGACGATGGTGATGATGGTGAATATGTCCGTGGGGCTGTTATGGGAGCGGCGCATATGTCTTCCATGTTCGAAGGTGATATCTCGCCTCAAATCGTGTTGGGGGTCGCGGCTTTCCAGAGCCATATTAGTGCTACCACCCCTACGCATCCCTTCACCCGGCCTGGCAGGGTTGATCTCTCCCCATCCCAGGCATATTCCGCCCCCCCTCATGTGCATTCCAAGCGACAAACAAGAGTGGTGTTTGGCTCTATTTTTTCGGCGAGCTAGGATTGACACTTTCCCGCCATAGTATCTTCATAACTCCCTCACGCCCATCCCCAGCATCACACATGGGTGGTGTTTCCCGCAAAACGGCTCGGTTGATAGCAAAATCCATCATCTCCATCAAAGCAACAATTTTGAACAAGGTTGGACAGTGTAGTCTAGTGAACGAGGGATAGCCACCGAGATAATCACTCCAAGACTCTGCCCCCTCGATAGGTGATTTAATTGATGTGTTTATCATACTTCTCAAATAGCTTCAGCGCAAGCGATTTCGCGCCGTCTGAGAATTCCTATTTCGCGTGGGCTTCGATATATGGAGGGATATTTGAGAAAGGGTGTGCCTCGGAGGTTAGGGGAGGGGTCGATGGGAAGGGCCTTGGCCAGTGGAGAAATCAGATAGCGTAAGCAGGTTCCCGCGACCGTCGAGCAAGATCTGGTCGAAAAGGCGGGATGTGCGGAAGGATACTCTTGGAGAGTGAAATGGATCAAGCGGAAAGTCGAAGCTTCCTTGCCCACAGTAATAAGTCCCTGACAGAAACCTAACGGTGTCGACATCGAAGGAATTTTGCCAGAATTGAAGTCATTGAGCCTAACTCGACTGCTAGGACGTGGCAAGGTTCATCTGCCGACAATGGGCGACTGATCCATCAAAGCTGCCATCCCAAGTCTTGATTTACCCCATCCTGCGCCCCTATCCACCCTAATGTTGCACCGTAAACACCTCCCAACTCCAGCCCATCTACCATTGCGGGCCCGTGAATTACGATAGATTGCTGATTCTCGTTGGATTGCCCCGGTATTTAAGGAAACAAGTAGAAATCTAAATACACGTGTGTCAGCGGATAACTGAGGGTAAGATTCCTAGTATCTTTGCAGCGACATACACTTCCGAAATCATTCCGGGAGTTTCCCCTAGAGTGTCTTCTTCCTGGCCATCGTCCATTGCATCCGAGTTTGTATCCTCGTCCAACACGGAGATATCCAATGATATCATCTTTGCTGGTGCCTACGGACACAGCCATCGTTCATCCAGCGGGACGCCTCCCGGTCCCAGCCCGGCTGTAGAGTCCCCCGATGCCTGGGGACTTCTGGAAATTTTCTTTTTCTCTCAGCGAATCAAGAAGCTCGACCCGATGCCCTGCAACACATCCGCACAGGGAGTCAATGGATATAGGTGGGCGCCGTGGAGACGTGGTAGCCTGTAGCATCGTAACGATATCGGGGAGCAACGATCCCCGTTCACCAATGACGTTTTTCTGGTCTTTAAGCATTTGGGATACTTCCTCCGGAACCATGTCTAGTCCACTAACAACCTTCTTTATCGGGAAACCTAGCATACTTTTCAATAACTGCGCCTTTCGGGTGGCGAAGTCAAAGTCAAAATAGGCGAAAGCAGCATCCTGCCCAATAGCCTGACCGCACAAGCTGTCTGCCATGAGGGCTCTGGGATCGATCACAGCTCATCAGCACTAGCTCCCTTTCCTTCATTCCTTGGGGGTTCTCCTTACCTAATGTCGGTCTTGCCGACTCCCGGATTTCCACAGCAAAACAAGACTCCGTTTTCAGATCCATCCCCCCGACTCCCGCCACACCAGCCTCTAAACCCCCCGGTTTGTAGAAGCCTCTCATCTGCGTTGTCAAACTGGCAGTCTTGAGCGTCCTCGTACGATAACCAGGCTTGGATTTCGGACCGATCATCAGCAACAACGAAGCTATCCGGCACATTAAAAACGTTAGAAGGGATGAGATTGTGAGTAAAAGATGGAGACATCCTCTGTTCCCCGCTGTTTGGAGGGTTGCAGAGGGCGGGTTGTTGGGTGGTGTCGGTTGATGAAATTTCTGGGGGGGTGAGGAAAAGCGGGGTCTTTATCCTAGAGCCTCGATATAATTAATACCCAGGAAGGATCCAATCAACCGAGTTGAAATCTGTGAAACCAGCACCCTGCCCATTATGGCACGACTAGGCCATATTTTGTGTCATATTCGGAAGAGGAAAGAGGAGTTACCCGGCCCCCGGACAACAGAAAGCATGGCCGCAATCAACATATCCTATAAGAACAAGGAGTAGAACGCCGTGTGACTGTGTCACCTTCCCAATCAATCAACCACTGCAGAATGGCTCATGCAGTCCCCGAGAGATGTAAGAGAAATAAGTTACTGTACGAGTAAATATGCTGGAGATATGGCAGGAGAAGCTAACAAAGAAATTACCCCGCGGAGACGGGTTGCAATTGTTACGATCCGTGCGCCGTAGGCCGCTACGAGATTTATAAATACAGTACTCGTATGATACCGTACTCGCACTTTCCACCTTCAGGAAAAACACATATCATACTGGTACTCGGACACCTGGATCAGTCCGTGAACATTCTCCAATGAATGGATGGCTGTTTCTGATATCCAGCTAAGCCCACTGGTTGTGGGGAGAGGAGGCTCTGTGATTCTTTATTTGCTTGAAGGGGTATATAGCGGCTTGACTGGTACAACGGTTCGCGAATTAACTCCCACCCGGGTACTTGTAAAAATGAAATGAATTTAAAAGCAAAGAAGAAAAGGGAGAAAAGGGAGAAAAGGAGAAAAGGAGAAAAGGAGAAACTGTTGGGAAGATGAACCCCAACGCTGCAAAGTCTCGAAGCGAGCAAGGTTGCGAAGTTACTGCTCAAGTATGATACTCGAGTACTGACTGTCCCCGTGCGGGGTACTGTGCCTGTAGACTACTCGCGCGGCCCATTCCAGGTCGCATGCTGGGGGCGACATTAGTCATCATCCAGCCAACCACAGAGCACAGATGGACTACCGGTACGGTATCTGTGCTTTTTACTTGACTCGCGGCTGATCAACTTCCCTGACTGGGTGCCCGACTACAACTGCCGCCCGAACTACCGGTCCGTATGGATGTGATCGTGGCTCACCCATTCTTGACAATCGTACCGGTATTCTGCCAAAAAATGCCATCGGTTGGTGCCACTAGAGTACTCGAGTACTCAGTACGAGTGCACTCTGGGATCAAGTCGCGCAGTGCCATAATGGGCACACTGGCACTGCACAAGGACTTTAGGTGCCTACTGCCGTATCGGTACCGGTACTTGAGTACTGGAGTACTGAATAGTACCGTACACTACAGTTCGAGCACACGTGATCAATAGGGATCAGTAACAAGTACGAGTAATTTTTTGTTTGACGATTCCCCCCTTGCCATGTTTGTCACTAGCCCAGATTCGTCGTGGGTACGGTCGTGGCTGTACCGGTACTTGAGTACCATACAGTAGGAATGTTATCAAGCCGCATCCGGAGGCCAAGCTATCAAGGCCCGGATCTAGTATTATGAACGATCGCCTAAAATCAGAGCATTTCTCAGAGCTTTTCAGGAGTGTGAGCGATAATATGATTATTTTTATGGATACAATTCGCTGACCGAGACAAGCTTTCTGCTGATTGCGTTACACATCAACACGATATTGGGGAAGGCGACTGCGTTTGATAGAGTAACGAAGCTCCGTCAAATGGGATCTATAGGCGATCTGGAAGATGCTTATAAAGTGAATCCGGGAAGGATTAAGCAGCAATGTGGAGACCGGGCATGATTACGCATGATATCTTTGATGTTGATATCCCCGGTGGAGCCGCCCTTACAGGCCAATGGGCTGCGCGATGCGGTAGGGGTGAAGGATGGCTCACTAGATTTAAGTCCTGTGGCACTTCCGCGATACAGACAGTACTGCAGTCCTATCAAAGACCTATAACTGTAAATCGGGAAACATCAACAGTTCGACTGATTCATTCAACGATACGGGGATATTTATTCGCATATGACATGAGCCTTTCGATTATACCCATGGAGCGGTTGCGGAAAATGTCTCAAATTTTCAACTGTCGTGAATCATGGATACCCTATCACTACCATTTCACCGCTCTTTGCAAAGCCCACGATTAGCCTCCCAAAAATACTACCCCTTCTCGAATATTCCCCCCTGCACTGGGGGGTCATGCCAGCAGAGGGATCGCAGTCTCGGTAAAAAAAGACTTGTTTTTAATTGCTGGTTCGATACTACTACAACTATGTGTCTACCTCAATCCTGGTATTTAATTTATTCCAGAATGGGAGGGAAATCCGGGATTGGGGAGAAGCTGAGAAAAGTGCAGCTGGATTTTCCGGATCGTATTGCAAAGCAGTCCTCGACGTCGCTGAGATTGCCATCGCACTACTAGAACCGGGAAGCTATAATGTGAATCAAACAGATTTTATGGGACGGACAACCCGGGCCAGCCGGTTAGAAGGCTTGATTCTCCTATCCCGACCGAAGTGGGTATGAGGGGTAGTAAATCTACTTCTAGCCTAGAAACAGGCCAATGCTCATACAGTGGGTAGGTATGGCGGAACACCACATTCTTTCGCAGCTAGAGATGGGAAAGAGATGGCAGCAAAAATACTACTGAGCTATGAAGACATCAATCCCGACACAGCAGAACAAGACGACCGAACACCACTGTCTTATGCTGCGGCAATGGGCTGTAAACGGACCGCGAGGCTGCTGCTAGGCCGGCATGATATCAACCCTGATATGGTGGACGGATATGGTCGAACTCCCCTAACTTATTCTACGCTGCTCACTTAGGACATGAGGAAACAGTGAAATTACTCCTAGACCAACGAGATGTCAAACCAATAGGAAAGACGTATACGGCCGGACCCCCCCTCTTTTACGCTGCTCACTCTAGACGGGAGGAAATGGTGAAGCCACTCTCGGCCAGCAAGAAGTGAACCCCAACACCATAGACAAGATGGCCGAACAGCGCTCTGTCATTCTGGAAATGGCCGTGAGGGGATCGCGAAGCTACTATTCTGCTGACGATATGTCAACCTTAATTTAGCAGACAAAAGGGGGCAGATACTTCTCTCTCATGCTGCTCTAAAGGGCCATAAAGTAACAGTGAAGTTTGCTACTTCATCGGTAAGATGCCAACCCCAACGTAGCGAATCGACACGCTAGGAGCGCCCTCCCCCTTATGACTCTCGGAGGTCTTGGAGAACTAGTGAGGTTGCCACTAGGTTGTAAAGACGTCAACCCTAACATAATAGACGAAGATGGCAGAACACGGCTCTCCCGTGCCGCTGAAATTGGCCACGAGGGGATTGTGAAATTGCTGATTATACTATGATACACCGAAGAGATATCAACCCTAATGTAGCAGACAAATGCGGGCGAGAGGGTATGATACCACAAAGGGTCGTAATGAGATATTGCAGCTACCGGCACCAATTTACGAAATCGGCACATGATATAAAAGCACGGCCAAATCACGCTCTCCTCTGTCGCTCTTTGGGAAATTAAAGAACTCCAAGTCTACCGCCACACCAGGAACCTAGGGCCATCAATCCTAATATATCAATTACGAACGGAGACAGCCAAATAGCAACCTCTCACTGCCCAGAATTAGCCATGGCGGGATCGTGGGGCTACTACTACGCCGGGTAGATATCAACACTGGTATAGTCGGCACATATCGCCGGACACCGCCCTCCCATGCTATCTCAAAATGCTACAAAGGCACAGCACAGCAACTTCTGGGCCAACAAGACTCCAACCCTGATACAGAGAGCAGCCACGAACGAACACCGGTCAATTACCGGTATGCTGGTAGGAGTTGACACCGTGCTCTTAACCGCGCTATCTCAACACCTGGTACAATAGGTAGAATCTCATCCACAGATCTTCACCTACCTCCTCTTCGTCATGGTTTTGAACCGCCCTAATACAATAGCTGGTACTCAGACGTTCCCGCTCGTAAAACCTCGCGCTAGTTCTGACCGCCCCAGCACAACCGCGTTCCCGTTGATATCATACAACTCCGCCTAACGTACCCCGGCTTAGCCGTACTGCTGATCATCCGAGTATAATGGCTCGTATACTCGTACATACGGTACAGCACGACAGCGTTCTCATCGATAGAATCTCGGCTACCCCTATTAGCCCCTGCTTTTCTTTGTCCCGGTAAAGCGGATGGACCTACATTCTCACCGATAGCCCCCTACCGACACCAAGACCCCCCGCAGATACGGGATTTAGATAGTACCGTATACGAAAGGAGCAAATTAGAAGGGACCGGTCGATGGTAGACGAAGATTACGCAGTACTAGAGTGGTGTTGGTGTCAGGGCTGCATGAAGCAGATTTCCTAAGCTTTATATAACCTAACCCTTTAGTACCTTTTCTCTTCTTGTTAGGCACATCCGGGGACCCGTTATCCGCGATCTATCGCCTGGATCGGCAGGACGCTGGGAATTCTGTGCGCCCCCTGCCGGCGCTTGGGACAGAGGTTGATAAGGAACTCGTGTCAATAGCCGAGATTTCGTAGGCGTGCAGACTCCTGACCATAATCAGCGTAATATTACCGGTAGATATATGACCACACCTACGCTGATAACCACCAAGGAAGAGTGAGGCAGCCGGTCAACCCCTCCTCCTCAGCCATCTGTATCTCAGGAGCCGACAGGGGAGACATGAAATTCTCCGTGTATTGCCGGTCAAAAAGATAATTGTTGGGATTGTGATTGTGCTCGAGTAGGCAACCATCTTCGTTTTGCCATCGCCATCATGCCTGTCCTTCTGCCCCACTCTCATGACGTATTCCGCGGCCCTTCACAGAAAGACACATCCGAACACTAGGAACCATTGCAATCTTGACCAAAGTTCAAATCATTGTGTCGCTCAAACCTGCTATAGCTCGCTACACCGTGGAGCAGGTCACTTAAATATGACGGGCCGGCATCCCCCTTATCTTTCGCACACCCCTGCCGTCGCAGAGACAAATGGCCAGAGATATGATAAACCGATTCACCTCTCCCTAATCTCGAACATTCATCTCAGGGCTCAGGTGTTTTGTTGTGCTTTTCCCATGATGCCGATGGGCATACACATTAACTCAGCTTTGTGCGGCTCGGATACGATTTGGCGGAAAAACCCACCATCTTGCGGCGACTCCATGTTGGGCCACAAAGAACCCTCATCGGAGGTCACTCGATAGGAGGATGGAGATTGAATATTTTGGTCGGAACTCAGTGACTAATGTTGGTACCGCTATCTTATCGTAACTCCCCTGGGACCGGTACGCCCCATTGGGCTCTAGCCCAAGTTAGCGGGAAGTGAGGTCCGAGGGATTGCATTCTCGACCGGAAGAGTCGGGGTCGAATCAGCGCTTCCGACTACCCACTGACGGTAAAGCACATCACGAGAAGGCTCAGCGAATGCATGATCCCGGAGATGCAAAGATTCCAAGAATATCCCTCATCCGAGCCTTAAAGGCTCATTGGCTGCGCATGATTGTGGATATGACTGGGCTCATAGGTCTCGTTCAAAATCCAATGCCGCGACCGATCAGCTTGGTAATGAATAAGCAGGAACAGCTGTGGGCACCAAAGCACAACTCACCAGATCGGTATCTGCGCTTCCAAGAGGAGCAATTTGAGATAGGCAGCAAGAGTGACTGGTTGCCAAATCGCGCCGCGGGGCGACAATTGAGAGTTTACTCGAGTATGCTTTTGGTGTAACCACAATGATACCCAGTAAAGGCATGATAGCTGTAAGCCTGTAGCCAAGCGAACTGACACGGGCTGCACCTCATCGGCTTATCCTTCCCATCAATCAACTCTCGTAACGTCCAGAACACCAACGCTCTGACAAAAGCTTTCGTATTCCACCCTCCTCCCTTTCAATCATCCAACCACTCCACTTCCTCCTTTCTTCTATTTTTTAAAAAAAATAAAAACCCAAATATCCGACGCTCTTAGGGGATCAACTCCCGGGATAAAAAAAAAAAAGAGAGAGAGGATGTCTACATTGGCGGTCTCGCCCTCACATTCACTTATGCCAACAGACGGAGGAGGCGGAACAATAAATCACCCATGGCGTCCCCGTACCTCGCGGACTTCACGAACCTCGCAAACTTATACGCGGACGCAACTTGATGAGTTCTACTCGAACGATTCCAGCACAATATCTCCTACTCCAACTACACCCCCTGGGATCGCCCGGATCCTCGTCTTCGACAACGCACACCCAGACTTTCCACGCGAAATATTTGTGAAGTCACATCTAAACCTACTTTTCGACGTTCCGCTGTCTAGCCTTCAGACGACCGCTGTGCCGCTTTACCGCCAAGTGCCCGTGGCGATTTCCGGTGGGCGAGATAGATGGGAATTCGGTGGTTGGTACGTTATCGACGCGGTTCACAAGGTGGAGAAGTGCTCGAGCGAATTGACGAAGCGGTTGGAGGATAAGTGGAATAAGAGGAGCAGGAGTTCTTCTCTTAGCAATACCTGGCAGTCGAACGTGGAGTTGGATTGGGCAGCCGTGATGTTGAGGAAGGTGTCGGATGGAGGATGCCCGCTCGGTTCTCTGAATACTTCTCCGTCTCCGCCCTCTGGCAGCGATAATGGGGGCGGGAGTGCCAATGGAAGAAATGAAGGATACAGTGGTGGGGTGGAGGAACAGGATTACACACCGCATCCACCCCCGCCAAGCCGTGTCTCGGGTTCGCCAGATGTGGGAGATGGAAAACACACCCAAGAAGAATACTTTATAACTCCATGCCCCCCTCCGCCAACCAGGATTCCTACGATGTCTAACGAGGAAATAGAGGATGATACGAACACTCTTATGGTGGATAAATTGGATGAGAGCATTATCAGCATTTCTCGCCAGTCGGAAGGGGGCGAGTCTGTCACGGATTCCGAGTACGGCGACCTTTCAAAATCCGAAATCGACGATTGTGATAGGTGGAGCGAGCTGAGCACCGGCCCAGTCGACCGTCAGTGGACTGTGGTTTACACGGAGAAGGACGAGGAACTTTAATTTTTTCTTCTGTTTTTTCTTAAGGACTTTGAAGGACATGCAGACGCGGGGATCGGATGGAGTAGGAGGAGTTTTTTCCATTTTTCTTCGTTCTCACTGTTTCGGTTTCGATTAGGCAAAAATCAAATTGCAATGAACCCAAGTTTGTAGTGGTATCAAGCCTTTTCACTGGATGGAGAATGGTGGCATGCGAGAATCGTTTGATTGGGCGATAAATGCTGTATACCGTTAATTCCATCCCTGCAAGCATCGAGCTGTGGGCGCATGCCAGTGCCCTAAATTGATTCGACAGGCCCAAGAATTGTGTGACGAAGGATTAACTGGTCAAGTCCCCGTGCGAAGTGAGGTTGGATTAAGCTTATCATCTAGTTGGCCTATAAGGGACCTTAGTCTCTGCTTATCCAGATGAAGGCTTATGCCAATCACGAACTGCTGGTACTCGAGCAATGTTCCGACGTTTGTGAACGCGCCCGGGTCCGCATTGTCCTGCATCTGCATCTTGGACCAATAGCACAGAGCCCAACAACACAAAAAATAAGGAACTGTGATCCGGATCTGAGTAGTTGGATGGGTTGTTAAAAATGGCGCTTGAGATTCACTCCCTTTCCCCTGAAATATACATCTCGCCTAGCCAGAAGCCAGAAGCCAGATTGGTATTATAGTTAGGATGAGTGTATTGATCAATAGCAGGTCCAATGCATTCAATCTTGGCGCTACATGCAAACCCAAGCGTAGGGACATCACGAGTAAAGCACAAGATACATTCGGCAGGGCATTGCACTCGAATGAAGAAGTGTCCTACCAGCCCCGGCGTCTGCCAAAAATCACCCAACCGGACCAGCCAACGAAACGGCAGAAGCCTTTCGCAATCGAGGTCACACCGAAATTTAATTTATACCCTATCATTCACTCCCTTGAGAGCCGGATACGAACAGACCCCCACCCATCGTGGCTCAGCTGGCACAGTACGTATGGGAAAGTGAACTCCTCGGTGTTTCACGTTAATGTTGAGAAAAGCTCCTCGGTGCTGCCTATTAGGTCCTGGGAAACTCTTGAGCTTCTTCTGGGGATTGGTCCCGCAGCGGGGGGGTTGCACCTTCGATTTGTGACTTTTGTGTGTTTGGAGCAGGGCGCTGGAGGGATGTTGGGACCGTTGGCTGGTTGGTGTCGAAATGGATGGGCGGGGGGGTTAGGGATTACCCACTACAAGACACGGGGAATAGAGAAGCGTTGGGGTGTGGGCGGGTTCAGGTGTGTGTGATAGATCAAGGAATTGAAATGACTGGACTGGAAAGGGGGATTTTTTTTTTTTCTGGAAGGATGAGGACTTGTGTAGCAATGAAATTGGTATCATAGTTTGAGAGATGGGCTGGGGTATACGGGCCTGTTTTTCCCAGTAGCATTCATACAAGACTGGTTTCAATTCCCACGTAGAACATTGAACTATGCTCACTAGCACTACTAACTTCCGTCAGTGCCTTGGCCGGTTTTGTAATAGCGCCGCTTCTAGAAATTCAGGATATAGACGTCCGGCTTACAGCCGTGAAGGGTATAAACCGACGTCTCGAGTCCCCATGGCACTCCCGGGAAAGAAAAGAAAGACCTTGGCTGGGACGCTCCGGAGATGGGTTGGTGGGTTCGGAGGTACTACTGGTCCCCAGGGTTTGTTCATCTGACATCCGCCCCGTCATCAACTCCGGGTAAAACCGGTGTAGAGGTATCTTAGCTATGTACAAGTTCACTCCCAGAGCCTTTTACAGCAGTTGGCTAGCATAACCTAACCATTTAGGACGGCAAGGTATCATATGATACTGATTAGCTGAGACATTGCCGGCATGAGTTGAACGAGAACGGGGGGGGTACTAGCGTGAAAAAAAAAATCTTTTCTTTCTACCCCTAATGAACCGTGGGCACAGCTTCTTTTCCAAAAGCCTAGTTAGCAAGCGGAAATGATTTGTGGGGCGGGCTTTTGGTGAATATCGTCCCGAATTAAAACATAATAATAATAATAATATTATGATTCAATCATACTAAGTGTTGTTCGGAGGTATGCCCCAAAGTTAAAACCCTTGTCCTTTTAGGACATCCTATCAGCTTTTCCTGTGGAGATATCCTGAAAAGTATGGGAGAAGGAAGGCGCACTGTTGGATCTACGGCCCCTACAGTTCCTCCACTCGCTGTAACTTAATATGTATCGGAATTCGGCCACAAGTGGTGAGCTATCGCATACCATGTTTCCCGCCATAATTCAGCTGGAGCGGTTCGTGGTATCCGAGTGGGGGGAAGTTCCTCAGGTAACAGATCGGACATATATACCTGTTCTTGCATGGCAGGTTCAAACGGGAGGAGAAAGGAGAAAGGAGACAAAGAAGTGATAATCTTGGATCTCTAGGTGTCATAGGGAGCTACTACTAGGACCGGAAGATATGGAGGAGGATAGACTGATCTCTCCTTGGATATCCCCCGTCGTCTTTTTTTTTTTTTTTTTTTTGTTCTGCGTGTTTATGTCTGACTTCTGTTTTGGGTGGCTGACGGAGGAAGTGAGTGATAGGGCGTGATTGGAGGGATTGCAGGGGAAGAAATTCAGTTGCGTCGGATCGCTTATTCTTTTTTTCCCTACTGTCACGAATGTCCCATTCAAACCAAGTCGCCCAATATAACGCACCCTTGCATCTCCGCTTGCATTACCAAAGTTGGCCATATGGTATGCACTACTGTTTGAGTTTGAAAGCGCCGGGATAATTCGGAAAATCTACACCTGGCCCGTGGAAATCAGCATCCATGTTCACGGGTTTTATCCGCTTGTCCGGGGGTGGTTCCCCTTCGAGGCTGACCCAACTAGGCTCCCGATTCCGAGCTAGTGTTCGACACAAGGTATGTGTGTTCTCGAAGACTGCTTGCCGGCCAGGGGAGGAGTACCCGGTGTAGATCCGGGATCGCCGGGGAGAGCCTCGAAGATTTTTTATAGCTAATCAATAGTTCCCTTAGGGGAAACAGAAATTCGAGTTGGGAGTGCTAGTTTCATGATGAGAACGGGATTGGAGATATGTAGGAAGCACTCGCCAAAATCGAGTTCCTAATAGTAGAATGTCCGCAACCAGCCACTACCCCACACCTTGCTTGAAAGCATCACACCCACATCGCGTTATCTCCCAAGGCTTCTAGTGATATACGTTCTCGGGGTATTTGATCCAGAGTGGTGACTGCAGACACTATGTTCCTGCAATCGCACTGATACCCTATTTGAACCGGGTGGTTTGGGTGCCACGGCTGTAGCACATATTGGTGGGGATTCAACCTGGTGGGAAAAGATACTGGTTGAGCTACCGTGCGAGAAGAGGAAGGTTGGGAGGCTAAATAGCGGGTGGGGGTGGGTGGTGAAATACCTTTTCAATCTACTGTGTGATTAGACGTGTCACATTTGGGGTAACGATATCAGTAACTTGAGGTCTACTTCAGGCTTCTGCTAAAGGACAAAAACCAGAGGAAACCATCATATGTATAGACAAATATCCTGATTCGGCCTGAAATAAGGAACATACCCGCCCTACCCCAAAAAGGAAATATTACATATTCAAAGAAAAACTAGTTGATGAGAGTAGGAGTAGGGGATGGGCGATTAGGCAAAAGCTCTCGAGACAGCGGGTAAAATGCTAGAGAAGATAGGGGGCAGCCAGGAGGGCGGACGGAAATCTAGGTTCTAGTTTAGAAGATATCATCAGTTGCACAGTGTAATTCCTTATCCTCAGCTATCCCCAAAGACACTTTGGGATCTTAGAGGATCACGAGTCCAACCTTGGGCGAGACGAGTAACCTGTCCATTAACTCTCGACCCCCGCGCGGATCCTGGTGCCGCCCGTCCCAAACTTAACCCGGGTTGACCCCAAGATGGGCAACTCAGCCGCAAGGTTCCACCGTACCGTGGTCGTTGTCCTGTTCCTAAGTGTTTCCCCCCTTCCCTGCGTTCTCCTTCTGAAGTTGTCGTGCCGTTGTTGAGCCAGGGGTTTGATTCGGGATCGACGCGGGGTGTTCATCCGGTTCGATGGTTCAACGCTGTGCCGTGATGGTGTTGGAAATTATGGATTGTTTGCGGAAGCTCAGTCATGAGGATTACCCGGATGTCGGTGGTTAAGCAGCTCCCTTGTTCTCCTTGTACTCTTTCCTTTTGTTTCGTTTCTAGTTCTCTTCTCTCTTCTCAACAAGCTCCTTTCAATATCCGAACAAGAACAACATTGGTCTTAATACAACTCTTGTTTGATCTCTATTTCTCTCTCTGGTTCTTGCTTTCAGTAAAGCTCCTCTGCACTCTCAGTACTCAGCAATCAGCTGTGCAGATAATCTATACCGTCTATCGCTTGTAGTGTTTGACTTATCACGGATCATTTCTAACAGATGGTACTGTACAGATCAATCGCGGCCAGGCTAAAAATTCAAGTTCATTTCCGTGACATCAAAGTTAGCATAAGTTTGGCAAGAGAGTTCCCTTTAGCCCGGCAATAATGACGTCCAGTCAGAACTATGAGATTTAACAGAAACTTCTTACCGTTCAACCAAATGTGGTACGAGTGATTATACATGCCCAAACAAGGAGGCAGCCACTCAAGCTCAGCACATGGATCTCAGTATCGACAAGTTCAGGACGCTAACTAGGGTGAGTAAGGGAAAAGCTGGCTCGGGCCCAACACCCAAATTGCCTGGACCTGCATGTTCGAAACATTGTTACTGACTAGCCTGCAGGTACCTGGCGGTTGTGGTGGGTCGGAGTGGTTTGGGTCAGCAGGACAACAGGTATCGTCGAATGTGGTATCGCCATGTTATTTTACAGGCCGAAGGAAGGGAGAAATATTGTATATAGAAAGGGAAGATAGTTAAAGTTCAATTGGGCAATTCAGTTGAGCAAAGAAGAGACGTTCAAATTCGCATATAGATTTCTAACTAGACAAGCAAGTGTTTTATGAGAAGTCCTGCTTCCATCAATACCGTACCAGTGTGGGTGAAAACTTTCACCCCACTAAGCGTAGAGAAAATTTGCTCTCACTAGAAGAGAGCGAAGGTTTCAACTGCAAGGAGAGGACAGTTTCAACAAGAGTAAGGAGAGTACAGTAGTGAGTTTCAAGAAAGATCAGACAACTTTGAAGAGCGGAAAAGGTACAAGGAAATCAAAAA